TTAGAGAAGTGGCCATTCCCCCAGAGCGTGGATATTTTCTGTGAAGTTTATACAGAGAGGCAGTTAATCACTCACATGACGTGTATCTCCAGCTAGCCCCAATCCCTTAAAGCTCTTATTTGCATTTCAGCCCAGATCTTTTTTGAAAAAAATTACTGCAATCTCAATAGAACCAGAAGAAGCAGCTCAAGATGCGACAAACTTGGGCTCCAAAAACACATACCTGATGATGCAAGATTGATTGTTATGAATTAAATTTAATCTGGCACTTAGAATCATAGAGTTGGAAGAGACCACATGGGCCATCTAGTCCAACCCCCTGCCATGCAGGAAGTAAAGCTAAAGGTTTCCCCTTGACATTAAGTCTAGTCGTGTCCAACTCTGGTGGGTGGTGCTCATCTCCATTTCTAAGCCAAAGAGCCAGCCATGTCCATAGACACCTACAAGGTCATGTGGCCAGTATGACTGCATGGAGCGCCGTTACCTCCCCACAGAAGCGGTACATAGTGATCTACTCACATTTACATGTTTTCGAACTGCTAGGTTGGCAGAAGCTGGGGCTAACAGTGGGAACTCACCCCGCTCCCTGGATTCAAACCGCCAACCTTTCGGTCAGCAAGTTCAGCAACTCAGTGGTTTAATCCGCTACGCCACCAGGTATCTTTAAGCATGCGTAGATTTTGGAATATATGAGGAGTCCTGGAACTAAACCTCAGCAGATACCAAGGTCCTTCCCGCCGAAGCAATACCCATTGATCTACTCACATTTGCATGTTTTCAAACTGCTAAGTTGGCAGACACTGGGGCTATCAGTGGGAGCTCGCCCCCACTCCTCGGATTCAAACTGCCGACCTTTTGGTCAGCAAGTTCAGCTCAGCAATTTAACCCACTTAGCCACTAGGAGCTTCCTGCCATGCAGGAAAAGCACAGTCAAAGTTTGGTGAGGTTGGCACGTTTACCCCACTACATTGCACATTAGCACATTGTTTACCTGCATCACACACTGATTGTTGCCCTCTCTAACACAGTTTACAGGCTTCAACATACCTTCCGTAATTCTGTCAATCCTTCCAAGTAATTCCTCTTTGCCAGATGGTCTTTGACTAGCAGGGAAATGATATTAAAGCACAACCTCCTGTTTCCGCAGGATCAGTATCCATGGTTTCAATTATCCTGATCCATCAAAATACATCCTCTCTAGGCATTTTCTAAGTCCTCCTCCAGCAGGACTGTGTGGTATTCTTGGGCCAGAAGTCCTTCAATTCAACAGAATTGGATATGATCCGTATTTTTTGCATATCCACGCAGTCTGGAAATGTATCTTCTGTGGATACAGCAATCATATAATTTTCATCATCATTCACCACCAGCTTTCTACAGCCTACTAGGTGTTACTACCTGGATTCAAATCCTGTCCAAGAATATAGGAACCAAGGAGGGAGGGAGGGTGGCCAATGGGGCATGTTCTTTCGGGCATGGTATTCATGTGATGCTATCTATTGTCATTTCAGGTGTTTCAGTTTGCTTGGACTTGATTTTGGATGGAGTCATTTTTATAACTGTTTTTAAATAGTGTTTATCAGTGGGTTTTAATATAAATATAAACGTTATTATATTATCAATGTGTAATTTTTTATGTTTCATGCTTAAATGTTCTTTTATGTTTATGTTTTAATTTGGTTAGGTTTAATTTTTAGTTATATGTTATTGTCTTATTTTTAGTTACATGTTATTGTTATTGTCTTGCTATTATTTTTTGGTTTGCACATGTATGTATGGCATTCAATTTTGCCCTTATAAGGTTGGAAACCACTTCAAGTTCCCTTAGGGCAGTGTTTCTCAACCTGGGGGTCGGGACCCCTAGGAGGTTGTGAGGAGGGTATCAGAGGGGTCACCAAAGACTGTTGGTCATGGTGGTTCTGTGTGGGAAGTTTGGCCCAATTCTATCATTGGCAGGGTTCAGAATGCTCTTTGATTGTAGGTGAATTATAAATCCCAACTACAACTCCCAAATGTCAAGGTCTATTTTTCCCAAACTCCACCACTGTGCCCTCTGTGGCACAGTGTATTAAATCGCTGAGTTGCTGAACTTGCTGACCGAAAGGTCCCTGGTTCAAACCTGGGGAGCAGGGTGAGCTCCCGCTGTTAGCACCAGCTTCTGCCAACATTTGCATGAAAATCTGCAAATGTGAGATTAATAGGTACCACTCCAGTGGGAAGGTAATGGTGCACCATGTAGTGATGCTGGCCACATGACCTTGGAGGTGTCTACAGACAACTCTGACTCGTTGGCTTAGAAATGGAGATGAGCACCAACCCCCAGGGTTGGACACGGCAGGACTTAATGTCAGGGGAAAACCTTTACCTTTACCTACCACCAGTGTTTACATTTGGGCATATTGAGTATTCATGCCAAGTTTGGTTTGGATCTATCATTGTTTGAATCCACGGTGCTCTCTGGATGTAGATGAACTACAACTTCCAAACTCAAAGTCAATGGCCATCAAACCCTTCCAGTATTTTCTGTTGGGCATGGGAGTTCTGTGTGCCAAGTTTGGTTCAATTCCATTGTTGGTGGGGTTCAGAATTTGTGCCAGATTTGGCCCAGTGAATGAAAATACATCCTGCATATCAGATATTTACATTACAATTCATAACAGTAGAAAATTACAGTTATGGAAGTAGCAAGGAAAATAATCTTATGGTTGGGGGTCACCACAACATGAGGAACGGTATTAAAGGGCCACAGCACTTGGAAGGTTGAGATACACTGTGCTAAAGATTGAGAATCCCTTATGCAGAATTCCAAAATCGGAAATAGTCCAATGAGTGACTGAGATATTGGTGCTTTTCCTTTCTGATGGTTCATAGAATCATAGAATCAAAGAGTTGGAAGAGACCTCGTGGGCCATCCAGTCCAACCCCCTGCCAAGAAGCAGGAATATTGCATTCAAATCACCCCTGACAGATAGCCATCCAGCCTCTGTTTAAAAGCTTCCAAAGAAGGAGCCTCCACCACACTCCGGGGCAGAGAGTTCCACTGCTGAACGGCTCTCACAGTCAGGAAGTTCTTCCTTATGTTCAGATGGAATCTCCTTTCTTGTAGTTTGAAACCATTGTTTCGCGTCCTAGGAAGCAGAAAACAAGCTTGCTCCCTCCTCCCTGTGGCTTCCTCTCACATATTTATACATGGCTATCATATCTCCTCTCATCCTTCTCTTCTTCAGGCTAAACATGCCCAGCTCCTTAAGCCGCTCCTCATAGGGCTTGTTCTCCAGACCCTTGATCATTTTAGTCGCCCTCCTCTGGACACATTCCAGCTTGTCAATATCTCTCTTCAATTGTGGTGCCCAGAATTGGACACAATATTCCAGGAGTGGTCTAACCAAGGCAGAATAGAGGGGTAGCATGACTTCCCTAGTCAAAGCCATGGTATTCCTTGTAGTAACCTACGGATGTGAGAGCTGGACCTTAGGGAAGGCTGAGCGAAGGAAGATAGATGCTTTTGAACTGTGGTGTTGGAGGAAAGTTCTGAGAGTGCCTTGGACTGCGAGAAGATCCAACCAGTCCATCCTCCAGGAAATAAAGCCCGACTGCTCACTGGAGGGAAAGATACTAGAGACAAAGTTGAAGTACTTTGGCCACATCATGAGGAGACAGGAAAGCCTAGAGAAGACAAGTATGCTGGGGAAAGTGGAAGGCAAAAGGAAGAGGGGCCGACCAAGGGCAAGATGGATGGATGGCATCCTTGAAGTGACTGGACTGACCTTGAGGGAGCTGGGGGTGGTGACGGCCGACAGGGAGCTCTGGCGTGGGCTGGTCCATGAGGTCACGAAGAGTCGGAGACGACTGAACGAATGAACAACACTTCCCTGATCTAGACACTATGTTCCTATTGATGCAGGCCAAAATCCCATTGGCTTTTTTTGCCGCCACATCACATTGTTTGCTCATGTTTAACTTGTTGTCCACGAGGACTCCAAGTACAGTGTACAAGCTCTTCGTTTCATGAAAAAAAAAGTTAAAGTATTATATAAAATCAGGCCCTATTGATTCGGGGGGGGGGGGGGGGGGAGTTTTTTTCAGGGGGGGTTTCGGGATTTTGATTTGGGAGGGCTGAGTCTGAGTGAAAGAGGGTCTACCTAGCAAACCTTTTGTATCATTACCCCAATACCCCCATGCATATGGGATATATTGAGTATGGTGATCAGATCATGATATGAATAAACATAACAGTTTAAATAATGCACCAGTAAGGCTTTTTTGTGAACCACCATGAGAATTTCGGGGGGAGGGGCTGAAGCCCCCAGTCCCCCCCCCCCCCCCCCCCCCCCCCCCACCCCCCACCCACCCCCCCCCCCCCGGAAGATTTTAATAGGCCTTGATGGTTCATAGGGGAGAATCCGTTTGGACAGGTAAACTGGGCCGGAGTCATTTAGGGCTTTATAGGTCAAAACCAGCACTTTGAATTGTGCACAGAAGCTAATGTTGTGGCGATGCCTCAACTATAAAATTAAGTTGATTTTAACTATATTAAGGGGTTGCAGCATTAGGAAGAGTGAGAAACACTGCTTTAGGGAGGGAAAAGTGAGATATCAATGCAGTCAATAAAGAAGTACATGCTCCCAGAGCACCTGCCAGCTTGGGACCCACCCTTGTTTACTTTCTCCCAGAGATGCAGTATCTCCCTTTGCAAGGCTTTGCTATTTCATCATCTCACTTTGTCTCCTTGGAGGAGGAGGAGGATCCATGTCCTTCCCTTTCTTCCCTTCAGAATTGGAACCCAAAGAGGCTGAGTTAAATTCCTGGGACTCTTTCTTTCTCCTCTCCCTCTCCACCTGACTGGGAGGCCTGGCTGCAAACTGGGAGCGACTGGGCCAGCAGAGCCCTCTCCCTCCCTCCATCCTCCTCCTCCTGGAGAGCAAGCCTCCAATGGAATGAATGGAATATAAATAGTGTCCAATGGGTGCCTGGCTTGGGCTGGATATATAAGCGGAGGGAGGGCGGGGGTACGGCTCCATTCGAGGCAGGTCTGTCTGGAAGAGCAGCCGGGTTCCTCCTTCCTTCCACTCACTCACTCACTCACTCACCCACTCGAGTGCGCCGCTTTTGTCTTGCTCTGACCCTCTCGGTAAGTGCTGGGAGGCAAGGCAATCAGGAGTCTTGGGGAGGAAGCCTATCATTTCCAAGGGAGAGCCAATGACCTTGCGATGCTTGCTCTTCTTCATTCCAATGTGCTTTGGGGTTTTGGAGAAGGGAAGGGATGCGCGAGAGTAACCAAGGCGTGGTGAGTTGGGAGACAGAAGATGCTGCTGCTCTTGACTCTCTTCCTGGCTCTGAAAAGCAAGAGCAAGCCCACTCTCCTTCTCATTCTTTTGCCTCCTGCCTGCAGGGCTCAAAAGCTGCCTCCCTCTCCCATCCCTTGGCCCCGAATTGGCATTTAAGCAGGGGATGGGTTGGCATGATCCTCCTCTGCGCCAAGCGGAGAGGAGTTTCGTTACATAACGGGAGCGCCCTTTCGTTTCCCCCTTCGTTCCTTCCTCTTGGAGGGCGAGCGCGAGGAAGAGATGGAGTAGCTTGCTTTCCAGACCCAGCTTTGCTACAAGGACTTCCTTATCCCAGTCCTCCCCTCGAGAAGGTGTGCCTTGCAGGGAAATTCTCCCCCTCTCCTCCCATCTGTGCTTTCCACAGCTTGGATTTTTTTTTCCTTCTCCTATCAGGAGCGACTTGAGAAACTGCAAGTCGCTTCTGGTGTGAGAGAAGTGGCCGTTTGCAAGGACGTTGCTCAGGGGACGCCCGGATGTTTTACCATCCTTGTGGGAGGCTTCTCTCATGCCCCTGCATGGGAAGCCGGAGCTGACAGAAGGAAGCTCACCCCACTCCCCCATTCAAATCGTGGTGTGAGAGAATTGGCCGTCTGTAAGGACATTGCCCATGGGACGCCTGGATTTTTTGATGTTTTTATCCTCTTTTGGGAGGCTTCTCTCATGTCCTTGCATGGGAAGCTGTAGCTGACAGGTGGGAGCTCAGCTCACTTCCTGGATTCAAACCCCAAATTGCAAGTAGCTTCTGGTGTGAGAGAATTGGCCGTTTGCAAGGACGTTGCCCAGGGGACGCCCGGATGTTTTGATGTTTTACCATCCTTGTGGGATGCTTCTCTCATGTCCCGGCGTGGGAAGCTGGAGCTGACAGAAGAAAGCTCACCCCACTCCCCCATTCAGTGTGAGAGAATTGGCTGTCTGTAAGGATGTTGTCCAAGGGATGCCCGGATGTTTGATGTTTTTATCCTCCTTTTGGGAGGCTTCTCTCATGTCCCCGCATGGGAAGCTGGAGCTGACAAAAGGAAGCTCACCCCACTCCCCCATTCAAATCCTGGTGTAAGAGAATTGGCCATCTGCAAGGACATTGCCCAGGTGACGGCCGGATATTTTACCATCCTTGTGGGAGGCTTCTCTCATGTCCCGGCATGGGAAGCTGGAGCTGACAGAGGGAGCTCAACCTGCTCTCCTTGGATTCAAACCCCCGACCTTTAGGTCAGCAGTCCTGTGGGCAGAAGAGTTTAACCCTTTGYACCCCTGGGGGCTCCTGGAGGAAGAGCTTGGATGAGCCAAAAGGAGTGCAATAGAGGAGGCATGGGCAAACTTGGGCGGCTGGGGGGGGGGGAGGAAGGGGCCTGAGGCTGTTTGGAATGGTGGGAGTTGAAGTCCAAAACACCTGAAGGGACCAAGTTTGCCCATGCCTGCGATAGAGAGGGGTATCTCCCTCCCTTTGCCTTCCCCTTGGGCTGTTTATCAGGATGCCTGCCCCATATGTGCCTTTGAGCCCCCAGAATGTCACTCAGATGCCTTGGCTCTCAGTCTTGAAGGGAAAGGGAAGGAAGGAATGGAATGGAGAAGCCAGCCGTGCGCTCTTGGCAAGCAAAGTGCAATGGGAGAGTCTCCAACTCCACCTCTCGCCCTTCCTTCCCTTGGGCTGTTTGCAGGGATGTCATCCACCTGCTTTAAAGGGCCCAAGGAGAGATCAGAGGGAGGAAGATTGGAGAGAGAGAGAGAACCCTCCTTGGCGCATTCCTCGCTGCCAATTTTGCCCAGGACGCATCCATCCCCAACCGGCTTCTCCGCTCTTGCAAAAGCGAGGCGAGTAAGCGAGGCTGGGCTTTGGAGGCAGGAGAAACCAGGGCGGGTCCCCTCTCTCTCTCCCTCTCCTTTCCTGTGGCACCATCTGGCCAGGAGGAAGAGGACGCAAAAGAGAGTGTCCAAGTTTGGGCTTCAACTCTCCAGAAACAAGGGATTCCAAAGCCATCCATCCGTTTCAAAAAACATGTCTGCTCCCTTGCCTTGAAGGTGACCCTTTGGGACCAAGGAAAGGAGGAAGTGGGGCAAGGCTCAGAGAGACGGAGCTCTGCTGCTTTCTATTCCTGGCCTCCTCTTCTCTCTCTCAAGCCAGGCTCTTGACCTTGAGCAGATCCCTTCTGCCGGTCCCTGCTGTGTGGCCCTTCCTGGTGCCAAGAGGAAGAGGAGGCGGAAGGGGAATGTTGGCCCAGTGCCTGGCAATCCTCAGGTGCCGGGCGGGGAGAGTGCCTGCCTGGGCAGGTCGCAGTACCGGAGACGGTGGCGGCAAGGTGACCTTGCTGCGAGGCCCAGCTCCCATCCCCAGCTCAAGCCCACAGTTAAGCTTTCCCCTCTCCTCTTCTTCTCCCTTCTTAGCTCCTTGCAGTCAGGGGCCCGCCATGCCATTCTCAAACAGCCACAACCTCTTGAAGAAGAACTACTCCGCCGAGGATGAGTACCCAGATCTGAGCGCCCACAACAACCATATGGCTAAAGTGCTGACCTTGGAGCTGTACACCAAGTTGCGGGATAGAGTGACTCCAAGCGGATTTTGTGTGGACGATGTGATTCAGACTGGGGTGGACAACCCAGGTAAAGGACGCCGGGGCAGCGGCCCTTCTGTGATCCGGATCTGTTCTCCCTTCATTAAGTGAGGAAGTGCTGCTTTGAAAATGGCATCTCAAAAGGCCTCCTGATAAGACCTTCAAGAGGCCTAGCTGCATAATACGCTAGGGCATTGGCCTGAATTGCTGTGAGATTTTCGGGCTGTATGTTTTGCCCACATCTATGGCAGGCATGCTCAGAGATTGAGGTATTATATATATATAATATAAATATAAATGTAAGGTGAATTCTTTCTCCCACCCTGGACCTACCATGTGTATATAAACCTATATATATATATTATATATTATATAAACATATATGGGGAGCCCCCGGTGGCGCAGTGAGCTGCTGAGCTTGTTGATCGAAAGGTTGCAGGTTCGATTCCAGGGAGCGGCGTGAGCTTCCACTGTCAGCCCTAGCTTCTGCCAACCTTGCAGTTCGAAAACATGCAAATGTGAGTAGATCAATAGGTAAAGCTCCGGCGGGAAGGTAACGGTGCTCCATGCAGTCATGCCGACCACATGACCTTGGAGGTGTCTACGGACAACGCTGGCTCTTCGGCTTAGAAATGGAGATGAGCACCACACCCCAGAGTCAGACATGACTGGACTTAATGTCAGGGGACAACCTTTACCCAACCTTTACCTAAACATATATGGATATCTATCTATCTATATCTGTGGAAGGTCCAGGGTGGGAGAAAGAACTCACCTTATATTTATATTATTTCTCCCACCCTAGACCTTCCACAGATATATAAACACACACACACACACACAATATTTTATATATTATATAAATATACTCATATATATGGTTTATATATCTGTAGAAGGTCCAGGATGGGAGAAAGAACTCACTGTATATATAATATATATGTATGTATAATATCTCACAACCTCTGAGGATGCCTGCCATAGATGTGGGTGAAACATCAGGAGAGAATGCTTCTAGAACCATGGCTATACAGACTGGAAAAATCACAGCAACTCAGTGATTCCGGCCATAAAAACCTCCAGCAACACATTTACCTGAATGTTAAATGTTGAGGGATGCAAACTGAGGATGCAATGAGCTGCTTGACGAAACCAATTGTATTCCAAATTCCTGTACAAACACTCTGCTAAATACTTCGATATGCAGTAAGAGGCATGCAGCATCTTCTCTCTTTTCTCTCTCCCTATTGGCACAACTTCGAAAGCTTAATGCTCATTAAATTGGAGGTAGTTTTGTAAAAAAATAATAATCCCTTGGTTACCCTCTGTGGCACTTCTTTGACTGATAAAGGGGGAGCAGATCTTGGTGATTTTATGCTGTCTTTGTCTTTAACCCTGCAGTATTTTTGTGTGTTTTTATCACCTTCTAGCGAGAGCAAAATGCCCTTTAATAACCAGAAACTGCCTCCGGATGAGGAATACCCGGACCTGAGCACCCACAACAACCACATGGCCAAAGTCCTAACCCCGGAATTGTACCAGAAACTGAGAGACAGAGTAACTCCCAGTGGCTTCTGCTTGGATGATATCATTCAGACTGGGGTTGATAATCCGGGTAAAAAAACGAAACCAAAAGCTCCCCCAAAGCTTTGCTGAGTCTTCTCTGTCAACCCGGCTGATGTAACCATGGCTTGTTGCTTAGGCTGACCGCGCGCGCGCGTGTGTGTGTGTGTGTGTTTGAGAAGGAGAAGGAACACAGCTGTAGCTCTGCAAATGCCAAATGGCTGAAACAAGAAGTGTGGATCAAAGGAAATTGCTATTACTTGAGTGTAGAGCAGGCATGAGCATCTTTCAGCCCTCCAGGTGTTTTGGACTTCAATTCCCACCATTCCTAACAGCCTCAGACCCCTTCTTTTTCCCCCTCAGCCGCTTAAGCCTGAGGCCGTTAGGAATGGTGGGAGTTGAAGTCCAAAACACCTGGAGGGCCCAAGTTTGCCCATGCCTAGTGTAGAGTGTATGATGGAGCTTTATTTTTCCCCATTACTGCCGCTTGGGAATAATGCCTTAGAGATCCAGTGTGCTGTAGAGTTCAGGATATGAATCCACTCCACTATGCAAAACTCACTGGGTGACCTTGGGAAAGTCACACTCTCTCAGCTTCAGAAGAAGAAAAGACAACCCCCTCTGAATAAACGTTGCCAAGAAAACCTTGTAATAGGTTTGCCTTAGGGTCAATCTAATCCCATAATGATTTGAAGGCATCCGACAACAAACTCGATTGCATCTGCTATTTTGGGAAGAATTTTACCGATTGTTCTTGGTGTGTTGTTGTGAGTTTTCCGGGCTATATGGCCATATTCCAGAAGCATTCTCTCCTAACGTTTCACCTGCATCTATGGCAGGCATTCTAGGAGGTTGTGAGGATAACCTCAGATGCAGGCAAAATGTCAGGAGAGAATGTTTCTGGAATATGGCCATACAGGCCGGAAAATTCACAACAACCCAGTGATTCCAGCCATGAAAGCCTTCAACAATACATTGTTCTTGGTGTGTTGTGAGTTTTCCGGGCTATATGGCCATGTTCCAGAAGCGTTCTCTCCTAACGTTTCACCTGCATCTATGGCAGGCGTCCTCAGAGATTGTGAGGATAACCTCAGATGCAGGCAAAACATCAGGAGAGAATGCTTCTGGAACATGGCCATACTGCCTGAAAAACTCACAACAACCCAGTGATTCCGGCCATGAAATCCTTCGACAATACATTGTTCTTGGTGTGTTGTTGTGAGTTTTCCAGGCTATAAGACCATCTTCCGGAAGCATTCTCTCCTGACGTTTCACTTGCATCTATAGCAAGTGTCCTCAGAGGTTGTGAGGATAACCTCAGATGCAGGCGAAACATCAGGGGAGAATGCTTCTGGAACATGGCCATACAGCCCAAAAAACCCACAACCCAGTGATTCCGGCCATGAAATCCTTCGACAATACATTGTTCTTGGTGTGTTGTCCTTCTGATATTTTGGACTTCAGCACTTAGGACTCGGATCCAATACATCAAAAATGTTTGAGAATCATTAGCTTAGAGGAGTTAACTGCCTTTACTTAAACTCCCAGAATCCCCAGCCATACTGACCAAGGATTCTGGGTGTTGTAGTCCAAATGTTTAAATCTTCCAAATTGCCATCTAGATGCCCTGTTTGTAGGTTTCTCAGTGGCATCAAAACTACCACTGTTGCAAGAGTAGATGCTGGTGCCAATGGTTTTTAAAGTGATCATATGGTCCTTTATTACAGGATTGGGGAAAAATATAGTCCTTTGGATGTTGTTTAACTGCAGTTCCCCATCATCCCTCACTACTGGCCAGACTAGCAGTAGGTTGCTGCGCAATAGATTCTGCAACACATTTTATCCAGCCTTATATTATGGAAATTTAGGACTCTTCTCCCACACTGCTTAGTGAACATTTATGCTTTGACAGTGGCTGCATTGTTTTCAAAATATTTTCTCGGCCTTTGGGCCGTTCCTTAGAATTATATGTAAGTTTTCTCAGCCCCCTGGTGGCTCAGTGGGTTAAACTGCTGAACTTGCTGACCAAAAGATTGGCAGTTTGAATTCAGAGAGCAGAGTGAGCTCCTGCTGTTAGCCCCAGCTTCTGCCAACCTAGTAGTTCAAAAACATGCAAATGTGAATAGATCAATAGGTACTGCTTCTGTGACAAGGTAACAGCACATGTTAAACCACTGAGCTGCTGAACTTGCTGATCGAAAGGTTGGCAATTTGAATCCTGGGAGCGGGGTGAGCTCCTGCTGTTAGCCCCAGCTTCTTCCAACCTAGCAGTTCAGAAACATGCAGATGTGAGTAGATCAATAGGTAATGGTGCTCCATGCACTCATGCTGGCTGTATGACCTTGGAGGTGTCTACGGACAATGCTGGCTCTTCGGCGATGGAGATGAGCACCACCCCCCAGAGTCGGACACAACTAGACTTGGGTTGTTGTAGATTTTTTCGGGGTATGTGGCCATGGTCTAGAGGCATTCTCTCCTGGACACTACCTCTGAGGATTCTTGCCATAGATGCAGGCGAAACGTCAGGAGAGAATGCCTCTAGGCCATGGCCATATAGCCCGAAAAAATCTACAACAACCCAGTGATTCCGGCCATGAAAGCCTTTGACAATACAACTAGACTTAATGGCAGGGGAAACCTTTACTTTTTTCTCAGGCTTTGGGCTGCTCCTTAGAATTGTCTTCAGAATCCAAGGGAAGGTAGTTCCTTACACACTGCGCAGGATTCATACAGCCCTCTGAATGCTGATGAACTTCAAATCCTAGCAGCCTTAGCCTAGTCAAGGATGAGGAATGTTGGGTGCTGCAGTCCAGCCACAACTGTGGGGCTGTGTTATTCCTATTCCTGGTTTAAATAAAAGGCTTTTGGAGCATGCAGAATAAGATGATAAGAGTTCAGAGCAGACAGAACGAACAGTATTGTGTTTCAGAATACAGAAGATAATCAGAATGCTATCCTTGTGCAAACAGAAAATTGTGGCATGAAGGAATGGTTGGTGTGTATGAGTGATTGCAAAGTATGTTTTCCTGAGAAAAATGGCTGGGTTAAATCCAAGGTTTCTGTCCATTACTGTTATGTCTCCTGACACCTCTAAAGATTGAGATCCCTGGATGAGATGTCACAGGTTTAATATCTATTTTCAGGGCTCTGCATTAGCTCCTTCGTCTCCCAGGATTAAGTTACGTAAAAGTATATGTATGCAGATATAATCGTAGAAGAAAGCATAGCCTCAGTTTGCATAATTGCAGAATTTGTATTGTCTTGCATGCAGAATTTTAATGCGGACATGAAAGATGTACAGCCTTTCATTCAAGTAGTATCAATCAACACTAGATGCCTTTGTGGAGTTCGGAAGGGAGAATATCAATTCATGTCTCCTGTTCAGTATTACAGCTTTTCCAGTGACCTCTGGTGATATCGCACCCCAAAGCTACTAACTCATTATAACTTGAATAAACAAAGCCAATTAATTGTGACTGGAGGACGTAATTTTTTTTTCTGATGGCATAATTTTGAATTAATCAGACATGCCGACTCTTCTCCAGGTTGAGCGTCCCTTATCGGAAATCTTTAGGACCAGAATAGTTCCAAATTTTTGTTTTCCCCTCAGAATTTGGGATACTTGTAAATACACAACGATATATGTTAGAGATAGGGACCCAAGTCTAAACAGGAAATTAATTTTGTGTTTCTTTACACACACAACCTGATTATAATTTTATGAATGATGTTTGTGTTTGTGTACGTTGAACCATCCGAAAGTAAACGAGTCACCATTTAAGGATTCATCTACACCAGATATGGGCAAACTTGGACCCTCCAGGTGTTTTGGACTTCAACTCCCATAATTCCTAACAGCCGGTAGGCTGTTAGGAATTGTGGGAGTTGAAGTCCAAAACACCTGGAGGGCCCAAGTTTGCCCATACCTGATCTACACAATTTGACACTATAGTTCAGTGCTATGAAATCTAGGGTTTTGTAGTTTGCACCAGCACATTTTGGCACAGAAGACCTTGTAAAACTACAACTCTATGATTCTATCGCATTGAGTTATGGCAGTTAAAGTAGTGTCAAACTGCATTCATTCTACAATGTGGATGATTTTGGAACCCTAGATAAGAAACACTCATCCTGTACTATAATTTATCCGTGGTTAGTAAGCATTTTAATTAGACCGCGCACCAGATGGTCATGCAAATTGTGTGCAAACTAAAAAGTCTTAATGATTTGAGTTCTCACATCGTAGTAAAACAAGACCTCTTTTTGAAAAAACCCAATGAGATACACAACTGGTAGTTCTTACCTTGGAGATGATTTTGAGTTAGGAATGCAAGTTGCCGGTGTCTTAGAGTTGTGCTTGAGCGTCAATCAATATCCTTCTGGCTTGTTCGTCTCTATAGGTCACCCCTATATTATGACAGTCGGATGCGTAGCTGGTGACGAGGAGTGTTATGATGTGTTCCACGAACTATTCGACCCCATTATTGAGGACCGACATGGAGGCTACAAGCCTTGTGATCAGCACAAGACGGACTTGAATCCTGATAACTTGCAGGTAGAGACGCCATTGAAGATCAGGGGATATTTCGCAGAGAAGCATGTTACATTCATATGTGTTTGCCACCCAGAATTCCCCACCCAGGATGGGTGGGGCATTCTGGGAACTGTAGTCCAAAAAGTAACCAAACCATTGCAACCTGTTTCCTGGTGTGACTTTCTCTGAGTACTGAGTACTTAGTTATTTGCCTCTTTAAATAGACATCTTATGCTAGTAAATATTATCTTTCCCCTCACATTTCCTGCAGTACTGCTACTACAGCCTTAATGTATTGTCCTGTCATCTGCATTGTGACTGTTGTTAAAAGGGAGAGTCTTGAAGATTGAAATAACCCACAACACTCTTGAACAGTCTCATTAAACTAGCTGGAGTTGCTTCAACCAGTGCATTATCCCTTCCCAAGGAAAATCGAGACATGTTTAGTGATCCAAGTTGCACAATGGAAGAAGAAAAATAGATTCTCTAGTTTTTTGGTATTGTTCACGTAATAGCCTAATTTAGTGGTTCTCAACCTGGGATTCCCAGATGTTTTTGGCCTACAACTCCCAGAAATCCCAGCCAGTTTACCAGCTGTTAGGATTTCTGGGAGTTGAAGGCCAAAAGCATCTGGGGACCCCAGGTTGAGAACCACTGGCCTAATTCCCATTCGGGAGAAAAATGGGATATAAGATAAACAAATACGTCCTGTTGTTAGTTCTGAGCAGGGTAGACCCATTGAACCAACTGGATTTATTTATTTACCCTATTTATACCCAGCTTTTCTCAACCCCGAAGGGGACTCGTGGCAGCTTTACATATAGGCAACTATATAGTACCTTAAAACAACATACAATTAAATAACATTTAAATTAAAAATTTAAATTAATGCATTTTAAAACATTACAGTCAATATTAAAACCACAGCATCCATAATCATAACCAGGGGGCATTCCGATACTCATTGCACATATTCAATATCTATTATTGCATTATAATTATTCTCCAAAGGCTTGGTCCCAGAGCCACATTTTCACCTTCTTTCTGAAGGCCAGAAGGAAGGGGCTGATCTAATGCCACTGGGGAGGGAGTTCTATAACCGAGGGGCCACCACTGAGAAGGCCCTGTCTCTCATCCCCACCAGTCGCGCCTGCAAAGGAGGTGGGACTGAGATCATGGCCTCCCCAGATGATCTTAATCTCCAAGATGGTTCATAGGGGGAGGTATGTTCAGACAGGTTAGCTGGGCCGGAACCGTTTAGGGCAGTGGGTCCCAAGATGTTTTGGCCTTCAACTCCCAGAAATCCTAACAGCTGGTAAACTGATTGGGATTTCTGGGAGTTGTAGGCCAAAAACATCTGGGGACCCCAGGTTGAGAACCACTGGTTTAGGGCTTTACAGGCTAAAGCCAACATTTTGAATTGTGCTCGGTAGCAGACTGGCAGCCACTGGGGCTGGCGTAATGGGAGTTGTACGCTCCTTGTATACTGCTTCAGTGAGCAATCTGGCTGCAGCTTGTTGGACCATTTGGACCTTCTGAACAGTCTTCAAAAGCAACCCCGCGTAGAATTCATTGCAGTAGTCTATTGGGGATGTAACCAGAGCATGGACTACCATGGCCACTTAAATATTTCCTCACTGTTCAGTAATTGATGCAATGGGTCTCTTGTAGCTGGGACTGATAACAGGATTCCAGCTAAAGTAAAAAGTATATAAGGGTTGCTAGCTGATATATTAAGTCCAGCCAGCCAGGGTTGGACTGAGAGATGAGAGACCTAGGTTCAAATCCTCAGCAAAACGATGAAACTATTGACTGAGCTTGGACCAGATACACATAAATCAGAAGAAATAAAACCATGCAGACTATTTGGAAGTCCTTTATAGAAAAAGAGAGAGAAATATAAGTAAGACTTAAACAAGACAAGCCCAAGAGCACCTTTTGTGTTGTGTAACACATCTTGCCTTCCCTGTATGGAGGTGAGCCATAAAATATGCCTTTCTCTCATTCATTGACCTACAAGATTTTGACCACAAATTGCTTTAAAGTGCTTCCTTCTGCCAGACTCAAAAACACAGCTCTTCAGGCTTTGAGCCGGCCTTGTTTAAAGCATTTGGAGTGAAAGGATAATACAACACTGACCTCTGCTAGCAGAGGTTAAATGGACTAGGCCACCTCTCCTAAGGGGCTGCAGCAGATAGACGTCTACTACTGTGAGTCCACCTAGAGAAGGTGCATTGGATCAAGGGGATTTACCTACCTGTTGGTTCATCTGTAGTCAGTTGATTAACTAGGAGTGCTTTTGTTGGAATGAACCAATAGCTTTCAGGCTACGGGCATCTGAGAACTTGAGAACTGCTGGCTAGGAACTGGATACCAAGTGTTTTATAATTAATGGGCTGTGGGGGAAAAGCCGCTAAGACTTCAGCACAAAAGCTTAATGGGATGTCTTGTGTTAATGCCAAATAATACTCACTTGCCCTCATTAAATGGTGAGCATTACATGCGCAGGTGATTCAAGGCAAGACTTGACAGTGGATCATGTGCTCCTGCGGAGAGGCTACTTACTTAAGATGTTTTTCTCCTGTCCTGCAGGGTGGTGACGATCTGGACCCCAACTATGTTCTAAGTTCCCGTGTCCGAACTGGTAGGAGCATCCGTGGCTTCTGCCTCCCCCCTCATTGTAGCAGAGGAGAGAGACGTGCTATTGAAAAGCTTTCTGTGGAAGGTACGGCTGAGCAGAACTTGAATCTGGCTGTAGTTTTGACAATATCTCCGTAGTGTCATTGGAAGGAATGAGTTGATAGCCTTATCCTGGGAGATAGGTCCCGAATCCAGTTGATAGAACTACTAAAGTAGAGCCTTTGAATCAATGAAATGTACCCAAGTTTCCCCCACCATTCAGCAATCTAAAGGTTTATTCTAGTTGGGGCAATTAACAAGACTGACCAAATTCTCTCAGGTTGTACCAAGTTAATACTCTTGGTATTAGTTGGGGAACTAGAATTTGGTACATGTGTAGGTCAAGGTCTCAGTCTTTAGCCCTCCAGAAGTTTCAGTCAACATGATCAAGGGTTTGATGTTCAAGACTTCTGAGAGGGTCAAAGTTTGAGATCCAGTGGCCCAAAACATCTTTGAGAAAGGTCCGCATTGTTCCAACACAGGGTAAAAAGGGAAAGCTTTGAGTTCAAATAGAGGTAGCCACATAATGCGAAGACAGGAAAGCTTGGAGAAGATAATGATGCTGGGAGAAATGGAAGGAAAAAGGAAGAGGGGCCAACCAAGGGCAAGATGGATGGATAGCATCCTTGAAGTGACTGGCTTGACCTTGAAGGAGCTGGGTGGTGACAGCTGACAGGAAAACAACAACACTGCAAAAGTGCTTGTTCTCCCCCATGGCCCTAAACTAGGTTGCTGATGCCATATGAGGGATAGGATCCTTTCTTGAGGATCTTTCAGTAGGATCTTTCAGCCATTCTCTGAGGGTGATTCTTATGACAAAAGGTGCATTAAGAGAGCTGCAGAAGGCCAAGAACCTTTATGCACCATGCAACAGTACACTGAGTTTTGCATTGGATGGATGGTATCCTTGAAGTGTCTGGTTTGACCTTGAAGGAGCTGAGGTTGCCACGGCCAACAGGGAGCTCTGTCGTGGGCTGGTCCATGAGATCATGAAGAGTTGGAAGCGACTGAACGAATAAAAAACAAGAGGTAGCCAAGCCACATTTTAAGTCAAAAGTTGGGGTGTAATCTGTTAAATCTTTAAATGCTTGAAGTAGTCTTAATATGACACCAAGAAACTCATCCCATAACTGGAATGCAAGTCCCTGTCAACAGGCAACTCTGATAATGGCGGGTTGACATAGAAAAGAAAAAGAAGACCATCATCTGAGAGAGAACAGATGAATTCGGTTTGCTTTCTTTGTAGGCCTCTCAACTTCCTGGGAAATAACAATTAATTGCCCAGTTGGGAAAGTTTTTTAAAGCTAGACTTCTTTTAGGATGACTAGCACTCTTTAATTTTGTTGTCATATTGGGATACCAAGTAAAAGAGAGTTTGTAGGGAAATATTTCTTTGAACTATTATTATTATTAATATTATTATTATTATTATTATTATTATTATTATTTCATACACTTCTCACCCCCAAGGGGGACTCAGGGCAGCCTCACAGCAAGCACCATTTGGTGCCATCACAATAATAAAAACATTCAACAAATTGATTAAAACAACATTAAATAAACAGTTGTTAAAAACATGCCAGTTAAAACCAAAGTCTGGGTCAGTTCATTGTCACTTCAGATTGCTTACGTCTTCTTTTAGTAGTTGTAAGAACTAGTCCAACAAAGTAATTGGTTTAGAACAGTGTTTGCCCAGTTGTTTTGACCTATAACTCCCAGAAATCCCAGCCAGTTTCCCAACTGTTAGGATTTCTGGGAGTTGAAGGCCAAACGTCCGAGGACCCGCAGGTTGAGAACCACTGGTTTAGAAGATCTGGTAGCAGGGCAGAATTAGAACTTGGTTTGCCTCTACTCCTTGAACTGTATTTTTAATTCTTTCATGACCTGAGAAATCCTGCAAGCCTCTTATCTTGTCTTTTCAGCTTTGGCTAGCCTGGAAGGGGACCTCAATGGGAAGTACTATGCGCTGAAAAACATGACAGATGCTGAGCAGCAGCAACTCATTGATGATCACTTTTTGTTTGACAAGCCTGTCTCTCCTTTGCTCTTGGCCTCTGGAATGGCACGGGACTGGCCCGATGGCCGGGGCATTTGGTAAGTCATGTCTCGTGGAAATATAACAGCTTAGAATTGATGCGGCAGGCTTCCCAAAGGACACAATCAGAACTTGAATAATGCGGCTTTTGGGACAGCACAGCTCCCAGAATTCTCCATTTTGCATGGCCAGTGGGTTCAGTAGGCATGAGGTCAAACCTTTTTAAAAATATGGCTGTAATGTAATCTCTTCTTGTAGAAAATGGTCTTAAGGCATCAGCTGTCAAGTAGTGTCCTGCTTTTAAAGGTTACTGATATTTTGGTTGAGAGAATACTGCATGCCTTAAATATATTTTGTGGACATAATGACAACTTGGCACAGCCTGTCTAGTCCCAACTGCCACCATTAAGACAGAAGAGCTGCATTGTATCTGGGTCTCCTCAAATACATCAAATTAAGAATTTGAAACTATCTCATACTAAATCTTACCAGTATAATATGAAACATGAGACACTCTCATTGGAGTGGTTTCCCAGTGTGATTCACCACGTATGTTACATCCCTTCCAAGCAACTGCCGGGAAAAAAAACCCCACGATTCCAATAAACTGGGTTGGACTTGACATAATGGCTGGAGCTTAACTTGACCTCAGGAACACCAAAGTTGAGTCGAAGTTCAGACTGATGACTCATCCAACATATCACAACGTATTTGCCAGTTCATCCATGGGATTCCCCTTCTCAAGGATTTGTGGGTTTGTTTTGTCTAGAATTTGTAGAACTATCCACAAAGGCAATGCAAATCAACCGAAGCTCTGAAGAGCAACTAGGGTGCATATTTTGCATTGGAAATCCAAAACTTAACTGATCATATACATCATGTGTGAATCTCTGCTTCAGTAATTAAGTGGTGGGTGTGCTGTACCGTTTCTCCTGAATGCCGGCATTATGCAGCCAATTGCAATTCTGTGAAAGTGTTTCCTGTTTCCCAATCCTAGTGAATAATGCAGCATGAAGACATACTGTAGTTACGAACTATACCAGATTGCACAATTGCATGTGTAACAGTTGCACTTCATTACATAACTATGAACTGAATATGGACATTGCATATTGGCTAAAAAAGTACAACTTCAGATTTAAGCAAAAGTGCAGAACACCAAAAGGATGCCAAGATTAATGTCCAGCATTTCGGTTTTGTTGAAGCAATGCAAACTAGTCATAAATCCACCTTATCAATCCTTCCAGTTATTTGGAAGGTGTTTTTGATGTTCTGCTCCTATGGTAATCTCTATTCAAGGAATTAGACGTGGGGTCCAGTTTCCTAAGAGCGATAGCAGAGCTATAACAGGGGACCTTGGTGGTGCAGTGGATTAAACCACGGAACTTGCTGACCGAAAGATTGGCAGTTTGAATCCAGGGAGTGGGAGGAGCTCCTGCTCTTAGGCCCAGCTTCTGCCAACCTGTTGTTCATTCATTCAGTCATCTCTGACTCTTCGTGACCTCATGGACCAGCCCAACCTAGCAGTTTGAAAACATACAAGTGTGAGTAGATCAATAGGTACCGCTCCTGTGGGAAAGTAATGGCGCTCCATACAGTCATGCTGACCACATGACTTTGGAGGTGTCTACGGACAACACTGGCTCTTCTGCTTAGAAATGGAGATGAGCACCACCCCTTAGAGTCAGACATGACTAGACTTAATGTCAGGGGAAACCTTTACCTTTTATAGCAGAGTTTACAATTTGGTGACTTAACTGTTTTGGGGATTATAACTACCATAATCAACAGGGCCGATGGATATTATGTGACCTGTGACCAAAACATATGAAAGGCACTAGATTTCCTACCTTTGTGTGATAATTATAAACACTTTGCAACAGTCCTAGAGGACATCCAGTCCAACCAAATTCATATCAAGCAGGAGGGCACCATCCAATCCTTCCCAACAGATGGCCATCCAGCCATAGATAGATGGTTGTAGAAATGAGATATATGATTTTGAAAGAGACTGAAGGGACCCCAAAGGCCATCCAGTCCAGCCCCCTTCTGCTGTAAGAAGCCCTCCCGACTGATGACCTGGGTGGCCTCTAAAAATCTATTTTGACCACCCAGTCAGTATCTGAATGCAAACTTCCAGTGAACACTCAGCCTTTCATTTTCATGTATTCTTCATCTACCTATTCAACAATTCAAAGCATGAAAACACTTCCCCCTCCCTTACAAAATGGAGACAGTAAACCTTGATTTTGCCATTTTATATAAGGGGCACCATTTTATTGTATATAATGGGACAGATTTTAATGTTATTTATGGAGATTCTGGTACCAAACCCTAGCACAGGCATGGGCGAACTTGGGCCCTCCAGGACTACAACTCCCACAATTCCTGACAGCCTCAGGCCCTTTCCTTTCCCCCCTCAGCCGCTTTAAACTCCAAGGCTCTGTACTACCTTTTTAAACTGTAGAGTTTTGAAGGATTTGTTTATGTAACCATCCAGTGGAAACCTATCTCCGGCATAGAGTTTAAATCCCACTCCCCTAATATGACTACATCAGGAACCTACACAACTGATACTGCTGTCCATGGTAGCTGGCAGTCAGGAATATGTAAATATAGAGAAGCCAACTTCAGCACAATTTTGTAAATGACTTTCCTTACCTAAACAGTGGCTGCTTTGTGCTGATATGCCTGTTTGGAAGCTCTAAGGACATGGCAAGGGGAAATTTGTAAAGCTCCTGACTCTAAATGGTTCCCTTCCTACATAGTGCTATTGTACTTGAGTTGTAACCAAGGAGATCTCAGATGTCCTTGGCTCCTTGAGCGCATGATGCATCTACTTTGCTGGAACAAAGCAAGGACATGCCTACTCAGTCTCTGGATGAGAGGCTGCCTAGGAATCTCTCTTCCAAATAGATTCAGCACTTTGGCTAGGGCCTTTAACACCCATCCTGCATGTGTTGCGCCCTTGAGGTGAAAGCCACCAGCCCACATTGGAATTTCATGAATTTGATGGTGGAAGAATGATGGAATACAGATGTAACAGAATAATAAACTGAGCAAACCTTGATTGTCCTTGCAGCAAGGATTGGAATAATTACTTTTCAGCATGACTGTTAGTCATGGTAGCTGAGGGTATTGTAGGAGTAGCTCTAAAATCAACTGTTTTGGGCTCTGACTTGCTGCAGTTGCTATGCCTTGATATCATAACAACCCACATCTCTTCCCCCTCCATTGTCTGTTTCCTATTAATAACAACAATTTTAGTACAATAAGGAACTGCATTTCAAAATCTGAAAGGTTAGATGGACTAGATCAGGCATGGGCAAACTTTGGTTGTCCAGATGTTTTGGACCTCACCTCCTACCATTCCTAACATCCCACAGGATGGTAAAACATCCAGGCGTCCCCTGGGCAATGCCCTTGCAGACGGCCAATTTCCTCACACCAGAAGCGAATTGCAGTTTGGGGTTCGAATCTGGAGAGTGGGGTGAGCTCCCGTCTATCAGCTCCAGCTTCTCATGTAGGGAAATGAAAGAAGCGTCCCACAGGATGATAAAACATCCGGGTATTCCCTGGGCAACGTCTTTGCAGATGGCCAATTCTCTCATACCAGAAAAGACTTGCAGTTTCTCAAGTCGCTTCTGATATGAAAAAAAAAAGTTTTGAATTAGGATGATCCTATGAAATGAGATCCTATGAGATCCCTAGTCATCAATAGCCCTGATCAGGTCTTGCAAATTCAGGGCTATGGTTTCCATGAATGAATCAATCCACTTATAATGCACTCTTCCTCTTTTCCTGGTGTCTTCCACTTTTCCAGTGGGTCACATCATTTCAAGATACATCCAAAATACAACAGCCTAAGTTTGGACATCTTGACTTTTCAGGAGAATTGGAGCTTGGTTTGCTCCAAGTCCAATTTGTTTGTCTTTTTAGAAGTTGGCTGTGTCCATAGGACTCTTCTCCAGCACAATATTTGAAATAGATTGATTTCCTTCCTGTTAGAAATTTCCACTTCCTAGGGGTTCTGGAAAATAACTGTTTTGTGAGTTCCACCAGCATAGATTGGCTATTTCATAAGGTAAAACTTGTGTTTATTGCACACTTATGATATAGGTCAGTGATTTTCTCTCTCTCATCCTCAGGATGGTTTGAACTTTAGCTCTAGAGCAGTGGTTCTCAACTTGTGGGTCCCCAGATGTTTTGACCTACAACTCCCAGAAATCCCAGCCAGTTTAGCAGCTGTTGGGATTTCTGGGAGTTGAAGACCAAAACATCTGGGGACCCACAAGTTGAGAACCACTGCTCTAGAAGGTGATCATTGGTCATGTTAGCTGCAGTTTCTGGGAGATGAAGTCCCAGATGTCTGGAAGACATAATGTTGAAAATTACTGATAACCAATGAAAATATAGCTCGTTTTCTTAGTTCTGGGTAAATATGTGACTCACTCAACCAGTTTCCTGGTTTGTCTCTCCTCAGGCATAATGACAACAAGACCTTCCTTGTCTGGGTGAACGAGGAAGACCACCTTAGAGTTATTTCCATGCAGAAAGGTGGGAATATGAGGGAAGTTTTCAACCGCTTCTGTACAGGACTAACACAGGTAAAGTGTGATTGGTGGTAGATCTGAGTGGAAGCTTCCAGAAGGGGAGGGAATTGGTGCAGGCTTGCAGCATTGCAGTGCTGAATTCAAAATGCTGACTTAAGGGTCGGCTCTAAAATAAATGCAGCGGCATGCGTCGGCCGAGCTGAGAATTCCCAGTCCAGACTGAGGTTGTGGTGCAGTGCGCTTGAAGGAAGGAGTGCAGTTCCCTCCTGGCAGCAGACCTCTACTGGACTGCCTGCCTTCTTTTTGTCTTGAAGGAATAGAGATCTGCAAGCATTATTAGCCCAATAAAGACTTGAATCTCACATTTCTGAACAGGTTGTTAAGAGCCATGTATGCTTAAAACAGCCTTCATCTAAGTCTGGCATATGTAAAAAGACTAGCAGGTGCTGCTTCCATAAACAAATACAGTCAAATGGAGATGTTGCAATTTTTATCTTGCATAAGTGCACTGAAATTTGGACATTGTCTCTTCTTGTAATTTGCATTACAGGAGAAGGTCAGAGAAGTATTAGAACATTGTATCTCAACTTGGGGGTTGAGTAAGGCCATCAGAAAACATATTTCTGATGCTCTTAGGAACCAAGTTAGGTCCAGATCCATCATTACTTGAGACCACAAGTGCTCTCTTGATGTAGGTGAACTGCAACTCCAAAACTCAAGGTCAATGTTCATCAAACCCTTCCAGTATTTTCTTTTGATCATGGGAGCTCTGTGTGCCAAGATTGGTTCAATTCCATCATTGGTAGGAGTTCAGAATGCTCTTTGATTGTAGATGATCAAATTTGGTCCAGACCCATCATTATTTGAGACCACAAGTGCTCTCTTGATGTAGGTGAACAACAACTCCAAAATTTCAAGGTGGATTTTCCCCAAACTAGTGTTCACATTTGAGCATATTGAGTATGCATGCCAAGTTTTGTCCAGATCCATCGCTGTTTGAGTCCACAGTGCTCTCTGTGTGTAGACTCATAGAACTCTGGGTGTAGACTCCTGGTGTAGACTCATAGACTGTAGATGAATGCTCTTTGATTGCTGGTGAACTATAAATCCCAGCAACTACAACTCCCAAATTTCAAGGTCTATTTTCCACAAACTACACCAGTGTTCACATTTGGGTATATTGAGTATACGTGCCAAGTTTGATCCAGATTCATTGCTGTTTGAGTCCACAGTACTCTCTGGATGTAGATAAACTACAACTCCAAAACTCAAGGTCAATGTCCACCAAACCTTTGTTGTTCATGGGAGTTCTGTGTACCAAGTTAGGTTCAATTCCATCACTGGTAGAGTTCAAAATGCTCTTTGATTGGATAACTATAAATCCCAGCAACTTCTGCTCCCAAATGACAAAATCGACTCCTCCCCAAATCCCAACAGTATTCAAATTTGGGAATATCGGGTATTTGTGCCAAATTTGGTCCAGTGAATACATCCTGCATATCAGATATTTACATTACAATTCATAACCATCCAGTTATGAAGTAGCAACGAAAATAATTTGATGGTTGGGAGTCACCACAACATGAGGAATTTCATTAAGGGGTCATGGCATTGGGAAGGTTGAGAACTACTGTATTAGAAGAAGCCATGCATGTTGTAGTAGTCTCTCATGTGCATGCAGAGAGTGAGTGTGTGAGAGAGAAAGACGAGGGTGGGGGTAGAAGGAGATTGTTGGTACAGAGTTGTAGAGTAGGAAGTGATCCCAAAGGTTGTCTGGTCTTACCCCTGGCCCCTGCCATGCAGGAATACACAGCCAAAGCACTCCTGACAGATGTCTATCAAACCTCTGTTTAGATACCTCCAGAGAACGAGACTCCACCACACTCTGAGGCAGTGTCTTCCACTGTCAAACAGCTCTTGCTGTCAGGAAATTCTTCCTAATACTTAGTTGAATCTCTCTCCTTTTAGTTAGAATCTGTTGTTTTGCGTCTTAGTTTCTGGAACAGCAGAAAACAAGCTTGCTCCATCTTTACTATAGCATCCCTTCAGATATTTATAACATGGCTATCAGGTGACCTCTTAGGCTTCTCATCTCCAAGCCAAACATGTCCAGCTCCCAATGGTAATTCTGGGAAATTAGGAAGGTTGAGAACCACTGTTTTAGAAGAAGCCATGCATGTTGTAATAGTCCCACAATAAGTGAAAAACCGCAATGTAGGGACGCTATATTTATTTTAATATTTATACATTATTTTAGTAGTTGTACACTACTAAAATAAGTCTTTATAAACTTAAAATAAAGTGAAGGAAAGGAAGCAAAGGCCCTTCAAGGCTGGAGGGAGGGAGGGCTGAGGAGGGAAAGCTCCTTGAAGAGCTGCAGTGTCAAAACAGAGAAAATGCCACAATATATATTTTAAATTAATATTTTTTGAAAACCGCGAAACAGCGAGTCCACTAAAAGCGAACCGTGAAGTAGTGAGAGAATACTGTAGACCAAAAGCAATTTTCTCCTAAATGTACATCTGGCATTAGTTTCGTAGACAGACCTATTTAACCTGCCTTCCTTGTCCAAGATAAATATAGTTGGGAGTCCCTTAGGTTCTTTTGCCTTTTGTTACAAATAGGCTCCTCCATAATGATATTTTTCCCACCCTCTAGATTGAAACACTCTTCAAATCCAAAAACTATGAATTTATGTGGAATCCCCACCTTGGCTACGTCTTGACCTGCCCATCCAACCTGGGCACAGGTCTCCGCGCAGGTGTCCATATTAAGCTGCCCAACCTTGGCAAGCATGAGAAATTTGGTGAAATCCTCAAGAGGCTGAGGCTGCAGAAACGTGGCACAGGTAAGAAAATACAACTTGTGGCTTTCTCCCCCTTATTCCTTTCCTTGAAATGCACTGTCTGTTCTTTAGCCAGGACACAGTAAAACCCTTAAAACTACCACAGAAGCAATGCCAAACAAACAAGGCATTACAACAAAACATTACTGTCTGCAGGCATTTATAGTTCCTAGCATGAAAACAAATAAAAACCCAAAAGTTTGTGCCAAAAGAGCAGGGAAGAGAATTTTAATGGATGTCAAAAGATGTTCATTTTCAGAAAAGGCTAAAGTCCTTCTAAAGCTTGAAACTTAACTATGTGTATGCCTCGGTCAATGAAGTAGATGTGGTCCCTGGCATTACTGCTTTAACATGGAAAGAATAAGGATGGGTTTCTAGACCACACATAAAAGATTAGAGCCATGTTTCAGCAAATGGTTTACAAACAATATACCCTTATGAAATGAAACAACAAGGACAGATAGTCTTGCATAACTAAACAAAATATTTTGAACCTTTTAGGGATTTGAAAACTTCTCCCAATGACTTTTTGGTCATTGGGAATGACTTTTTCCCATCACTCACCACATTTCTTATAGTTCTCATTTTGGTGGCTAAACTTATTTAGTTGCTTCATCGCACTAGATCCACTTTAAATCCCAGTTGCTGCCTCCTGCAGAATTTTGGGGTTTGAAGTTTAGGGAGGAGCCTTTGACAGCCCCACTAAACTACAAACCCCAGAATTCTGCAGGAAGCAGAAACTGGATTTAAAGTGGATTCATTCTCTAGTGTGATGAAGTCACTTGTCTATGCTTAAAAGAATATGCTGATAGTGAGGCAGATTTATCTGCTTTCCACATTTCTCTCTGTTTTGGTGTTCATGCATTTTCAGGGAGAGACTCTTTGCCTTTTGTGGGCAGATCCGCACAGTTACAGTAAGAATGGCTAGAGTTGAATCCTATCTTTTCTGGGCTCAAGCTTTATTACGCCTTTTACCGCAAACAAGCATCTACAGCCCTACACTGAAAATCCATGTTTCTCCAACCCTACTTTATCATCCTTCCAGTATCAATGCTGCTAGGAAATTTTTGAACTAGAGGATATGGAGGAAAAGTTGGGAATGGTGTTAAAAGAACCTTTGTTGGAAGCTTTAATAACTGAGATATATTTCAAACTTAAGTTTGACCTAAAATAGTCGAGGCAGGTTCACCATCACAGTGAACATTTGGCTTTTCACTGTGGTGCCATCCCAAAACATTTTACTGCCTTTTTTGTGTGTCAGGAATGACTCAAGAAACTGCAAGTTGCTTCTGGTGTGAGAGAATTGGCCATCTGAAAGGACATTGCCAAGGGGACACCCAGATGTTTTACCATCCTTCTCTCATGTCCCTGCATGGGAAGCTGCAGCTGACAGAGGGAGCTCAACCCATTCTCCCCAGATTCGAACCGCTGACTTGTTGGTCAGCAGTTTTGCTAGCATAAGGGTTTAACCATTGCGCCACTGGCTGGCTGAGATCAAGGTGATGAACACGGCTCTTTCTGCTCACAGCTACGCTGTATCAATCCAGGCTGACTGTGACTCAAAGTCATTGAATGAAAGTCATTCAAAGTCATTCAAATGCTCTAACCACTACACCATGCTGATTTTCCAGCCTCTATTTACTGGTTTTCTTTACTGGAGTCTAATTGAAAGGAGGCAAGCCCCCAGAAGGGATTTAGAAGGACATCTAAGCAGTTGTCCTAGTGGCCAGGCTATTTTGATGCTGCTCTGCCTGCAAAAGACACAGTATAGTTTCCTGCTCCTGTAAGGTCTGATGAAGAGCTAGGAGGGCTAGAACTGTGATGAAGGGCATACCAGGAAGCTTCCTATGTAGATGGATGCTCTTGGGATTTTACTTGCTTACACCTGCATATTTTTCTCCCCGGGTGGCGCAGTGGGTTAAACCGCTGAGCTGCTACACGTGTTGACCGAAAGGTTGTAGGTTTGAATCCAGAGAGCGGCGTGAGCTTCTGCTATCAGCCCCAGCTTCCTTCAACCTAGCAGTTCGAAAACATGCAAATGTGAATAGATCAATAAGTACCGCTCCAGTGGAAAGATAACGGTGCTCCTTGCAGTCATGCTAGCCACATGACCTTGGAGGTGTCTACGGACAATGCCAGCTCTTTGGCTTAGAAATGGAGATGAGCACCAACCCTCAGACTAGGACACGACTGGACTTGATGTCAGAGCAAAACTTTACCTTTAATCCTATCTTTCTCATATTCAAGAATCTCAGGCTGAATGGATAATTCTCAATACCCCCCCACCCCCTGACTCTACATGAATGAGAGTCTGCTTTGTCTTAGGTGAAATCCAGTTCCAGCTGGAGTAAATTAATCGATTCTTCTGAAACACTCACTTAAATCTCATTCATTTCAATGGCTCTAGTTTATTAGGAGTAGTAATTGGGTTTAGGTCTGCTTCCTAGGTGTTTGTTCTTAGAGAAGACATTCAGATTTCAATTAAGTAGACATTTTGTTTTTGTTATTCATTTGCATTTTGAATTTCAAAATGTTCCAAAATCTGAAATGTCCAGATGGGTATCTGAGATGATATTACCCTCTACGGAAAAACACCCAGGAATTAGACTGATTGCTTAAGGAATGGGCCTTGCATACTATGCTCAATGTTCTATTTGCTGTTGTCCATCTGCTGGTTTATGTTTTTAACAGGTTTTAATTTTTTGATAGTTTAGTGATCTTTCTAACTTTTGTCTATTGTTAGTTTTTAGTAGTATTTCAACTTTTTCGAACCTTCTTTCAATGCTGAACTGGGGGAAAAGAATATAAATAAACAACTTAGCAATGCGTGTGTTGGTGGAAGCTTCTGCCTCTCAGCTTGATTCCCGTCTTCAATTTCTTTGTGGGTTTTTAGGTGGTGTGGACACAGCTGCTGTGGGAGGAGTGTTTGATGTCTCCAACGCCGACCGTCTTGGATTCTCCGAGGTGGAGCTGGTACAGATGGTGGTTGATGGGGTGAAACTGCTGACCGAAATGGAGAAATGCCTTGAGAAGGGGCAGTCCATTGACGACCTCATGCCCGCTCAGAAATGAAAAGCACTTTAACATCCCAGCACCCCCCATGCTTCTTCCTAACTTATTGGATGAATAATACAACAAATGAGGAAAAAAACCCATGAGCTGCTCCAATCAAAACGTGGAGTCAACAGAGAAATCCCCACTTAGTAACACTTGTAGAAAGTCTTCCATCCATATGTGTTAGAGTTTATTTTTTTGATGGCTAAAATGTCACAGAGAAACTGAAATAAAACCATTGTTTGGCCTGATATATGTCTTGATTGTTGTTTCCCATTCTACTTGTGTGAAAGTTAGGAGTGCAGGAACTCTGTGGAAGGGGAAAATACATGATCTAAGAGAACACTTCTCTAGGAAGTTCTAGGTCCTCCAGTTTACTGGAAGTTAACAATAGGATTGTGCTGGAGATCTCTAGAGAAGTGTTCTGTCTATGAATCTCAAGGATTTTCAGGGCAATCCTGTAGTCGCCCTGAGACCCCCCCCCAGGGGGTTGAGAAGGGTGGGGTACAAATATTCAAAATAAATAAATAGTCGACTTCTGATGGAAGTTGACATCGTTTCTCATGAAATATCATACTAATCAAATCTGCAAGGGTTATTCCTACAGAGAACATACTAATGAAATCAGTGAATAACCAAATCCACAAAGATCCGCATAGTTAAAGCAATGGTATTCCCCATAGCAACCTATGGATGAGGGCTGGACCATAAGGAAGGCTGAGTGAAGGAAGATAGATGCTTCTGAACTGTGGTGCTGGAGGAAGGTTCTGAGCGTGCTTTGGACTGCAAGAAGATCAAACCAGTCCATACTCAAGAAAATAATGCCAGATTGCTCACTGGAGGGAAGGGTATTAGAGGCAAAGATGAAGTACTGGGTTGTTGTAGGTTTTTTGGGCTATATCAGGGGCGGCTCAATCCATTACGCAAAGAAAGCATTTGCAGTATAGTTGATTTTGCCCAGAGGCGCTCTTGGGGGAAAATTGACTTTGACATTTGGGAGTTGTAGTTACTGGGATGTATAGTTCACCTACAATCAAAGAGCATTCTGAACTCCACCAATGATGGAATTGAACCAAATATGGCACACAGAACTCCCACGATGAACAGAAAATATACATCAGTGATTGATTGGGGGGGGATACTGTTTGCTTACTGTTGAAAATTACCTAGGGCCGCCTTGCTGCTCAAGTTACATCTTGTAAAGCAGTGGTCCTCAACCTGTGGGTTCCCAGGTGTTTTGGCCTACAACTCCCAGAAATCCCAGCCAGTTTACCGACTGTTAGGATTTCTGGGAGTTGAAGGCCAAAACATCTGGGACCCACAGGTTGAGAATCACTGTTCTAGAACATGGCCATATAGCCCAAAAAACCTACCACAACCCAGTGGTTCCGGTCATGAAAGCCTTCAATACAAAGATGAAGTACTTTGGCCACATAATGAGAAGACAGGAAAATTTGGAGAAGATAATGATGCTGGGAAAATGGAAGGAAAAAGGAAGAGGGGCTGACCAAGGACAAAATGGATGGTTGGAATCCTTGAAGTGACTGGCTTAACCTTGAAGGAGCTGGGGGTGGTGATGGTCCATGAGGTCATGAAGAGTTGGAAGCAACTAAACGAATAAGCAACAAAAATTCCACAAATGTTCCCTGCCCTGGTCACCAGTTGAACAGATGTTCGTTACTTGTGTGGCTACTGCCTAATAAAATAGGTTTGGAGGTGGTGGGCTAGGAGATGGAGTTGTTGGGGGTTGTAGATACAAATAAACATAAGCTTTACCATTGTTTTTGAACCAAAATATACCCTGTAGTATAGTAATGTGTCACTCAGATTTGTGTAACAAGTAACAGAAACTTTACTTCCATTCAAAAGGTCAAACAGAGCAACAATATCTACAGCAGTCTCTCTGTATTCTTAAAGAGAACAGAGGCAATAAACAGTCCTTTTAAACAGTCTTTAAAATATGCTTCATGCCTTAGAAATGATCAGGCTTCAGAGAGTTGGCAGCCATTTTCTCCTTGTTTCCAGTCAGCGCTCTCTTCACTCTCTAAGGTAATTCTCAGCAACAAGCTAGAGACAGTAGCCACTCAGAATTCTGGCTCCTGACTGGCTTAGCCAATCAGCTGCCAACACATGCCTTACCAGTCAACCCATTACATCATGGTGCCTTTTTACAAATCCCCACAAGAGCGACATCTGTATGACATAACTGGGCCTTGTAAAATACAGACCCTCTTAATCTGAGACCAATGCAGGTCAAGCACAACTATGTATTTATGACCATAAAGCCAACAGGGTTATCCACAAACTAAATTCAAGCACTTAAGAAAAACAAAACCACAATTCTTCATTACCATTAAGGGAATTCATGGTGGCATATAGGGTTCATATTTTTTCCTTGGAACAGACCTGTAAAGTAGTTAACACTAAGAGAATAATTGGCCCCAAATCACACACCTGATGGAACATGGGTCTCTTCTCCCCATCATCTTAACATGAATGTAATGTTTTAGAATGACACTAAGTGTCTCAGTCTTTATTACATTCAATCTCATTTCCCCATCTCAGTCCTTGCTGAAATACTATTTTAGTTTTCACAAAAGTGGAGCTTCCTGATCCAGCCCAAATGTGGTTAATAGGTATTAATGCATGTTTTACTTTTGTTACTGAAGCTGGTACTTAGTGTGCTGTAAATAAACAGACAACTGCTGCAAGGTACTTAGTAAGCGCATAAGCTCAGGTACTGTAAGGTAAACCTCTTACATTCAGGCAGAGCAAAAACATCTCTTCCTTAGTCAGCAGATGAGTTTTTCAGTTAAAACAAAAACCTTACTAATTAAACAAAACTTGCAAAACCATTCAAGTATTTAATGAGCTGTATCTTTGCCATCACACTGCCTTCCCCTACTCTGCCCATAGTGAGCTGGTTACATGTACTTTCTCATTTAAAGTCCAGTATGTGCGGTATACTAGTTGCCTCCTTAAGCTGAGCAGAGACAAAGGTGTAGCTATGGAGGGTACAAAATCAGGATATTGCCCCTCATGTATGAATTCTAATCCACATGGAATTTACCTCCAGTTCTTACATTTCTGTCCTTGCAGAGAGTGAAACCATTCGTGCCTAGAACTCTTCTATTACCTGTGTTCACATTCTGTGCTCTGACCTACAAGAAGTACCGCCTGAATATCAAGCAAAACATGGGTGCTAGAAACAATATCATACAAAAGCTGACTGGCACAACCTGGGAATCATAACCAGACACAGTGAAGACATCTGCCCTTGTGCTATGCTACTCTGCTGCTGAGTATGCATGCCCAGTGTGGAACACACGCTAAAACAGTAGATTTGGTTCTTAATGAGACAAGCCACATTATCACGGGATGTCTGTGCCCTACACCACTGGAGAAATCACACTGTTTGCAGGTATTGCACCACCTGACATCCGCCGGGAAGAAGCAGCCAATAGTGAAAGGACCAAGGCAGTGACTTCTCCAGCTCATCCCCTGTTTGGGTATCAGCCAGCACGTCAATGACTTAAATCAAGAAATAGTTTTCTAAGATCTACAGAGACACTCGCTGGAACACTTCAGCAAGCAAGAGTCCAAAAGTGGCAGGCTCAAACCCCAGAGCTTCAATCAATGGCTGATACCAAATGAAAGACTCCCCCCTGGGCACACAGAAAACTGGGAGACTTGGAAGGCGCTGAACAGATTGGGCTTTGGCACCACGAGATGCAGAGCCAACCTTAAGAAATGGGGCTACAAAGTAGAATCCACGACATGCGCGTGTGGAGAAGAGCAAACTACAGACCATCTGCTGCAATGGAACCTGAGCCCTACTACATGCACAATGGAGGACCTTCTTATAGTAACACCAGAGGCACTCCAAGTGGCCAGTTACTGGTCAAAGGACATTTAATCAACTACCAAGCTTGCAAACTTTGTGGTTTGTTTGTTTGTTTGTTTAAAATGCAATACAACTGTTTGGTTTGCTCCTGACACAATAAATAAATAAATAAATACATTCCATAGGTAAATTGTATGGCTAAACTGTATTTATAACTGCTCGGCTAAGAGTTGTAGTTGCTGCAATGCTAGAAATCTGGGAACTGAAGGAAAATTTAATGTAGGTGGCAGAACTCTTGTTTGGTTGAGGCGGCATTTTCATCCTTTCTTCTGTTACAGCTTTGTGGTAATGAATTAAATCTTTAAATTACAGAGGAATGAAAAAGCCACAATGATGGTGACTTCCTCAAAACATAAACCATGTGTTTGACCTGAGTGTAACGGCATGGGAGGAGAACAGCAAAAGCTAGCCCCATCAAGAGATGAAGATGCACACTAGAGCATGGATCCACTTTAAATCCGGTTGCTGCCTCCTGCAGCATTCTGGGGCTTGTAGTTTAGGGGAGGAGCCTTTAAAATGTTCAGCCAGGTAGATCCTGGGCCTCACTAAACTACACACCCAAGAATGCTTCAGGAGGCAGCAACCGGATTTAAAGTGGATCCATGCTCCAGTGCGATGAGGCAGTGGACAGCTTGGACAGCAGCAAGGCAACTTTATTGTCTAAGGTGCTGCTGCCTTTCCTTGGCTATTACAGCTCCTATAGCAATTTTTCTTCTGTGCCATCTATTTTCCTCCTCCTCTAGCCCTCCAAATATTGTCAGAATGCAGCTCCTAGCATTCCTCATCATTGCCACTGCTGGCTATGGATACTGGGGGTTGCAGTACCACAACATCTAGGAGAGGTTTCTTGGTGCCTTCCTTACTCTAGAGCCAGGCCTGTAGCCAGGAGGGTTTTTAGGGGTTCACCCCCCCCCATTTTTCAGGTTTACTAAAAAATTGGTTTACTCATGAATTTTAACTAGTTAACCAAATCCCCATGCTAAGTCTTATGAGACACAAAAAATTAAGACTCAGGCCGGTTTCCAACAATAATATCACAAGCAATCATTTAAAAACATCACATTCCATAATACACTAACCCATTAAAATACCAAAAATACAATCATATAATTACCATGGCCAAGTCGTCACAAAATCATTGTTCATCACCATCCATCCATATAGTCACGAGTTATTGACTCACTTGTCAAATGCCAGTTTCCAGAGCCAGGTTTTCACCTATTTTCTAAAAGGCAGGAGAGAAGGGACAGTTCTAATCTCCAGTGGGAGGGAGTTCCAGAGCCGAGGGGCCACCACCGAGAAGGCCCTGTCCCTCATCCCCACCAGCCGCGCTTGCGAGGCTGGTGG